GGTTTTCAGCAGGGAATATGCGACAGCAAGCAGTCCCCAATGTCCAGCTGGGCATCAACTGCTGGCCACCTTGGTGCTATTAAAATGCACAGCTTGTTTGCCCACCACAGATGACAAAGACAGGGTCTTGATGCTAAAGGAGTGTGTGCATAACTACGTTTTTCACAAGATGATTCTCATCCTTCAAACAAACCAACCTTGACTGTGATGAAACTTCTTCCAGATTTTGCTGCTTTGGGGCAAGAAAAGGCATATTTATCTTCCAAGCTGGGAAAACTTGTTTTAAGGATTGCAGCCCTAAAATATGTGTGTCAGTATTAATCTCTATGTAGATCTGTGTTTGCTCCAAGACTTCAGTGTCTTGGACATTGTCCTTTCATTTGATATTGAAAATGCTCTGTAAATAGGGTAAATCTGCATTGACCTCTGCTGATCCAAAATATTTGGCTGCCTGAATTAGACTCCCAAAGTCCCATCATCCCCAATGAGGCCACAGCTTCTCGCTGCATCATACTTGCCTCCAGCAAACCCTGCCCTCAGCTTAACATGAAACAAGCCACTTGATTGTACCTTAATGACAGAGCTGGTTCTTACGTGGCATATGAACAAGTGGGGCACTTGAACCAAGGTTCAGATCTCTAGTTCACCGAGATGTACCAGGCAGATTACAGTTTTTAACTTAATGTTGGGATAATCCTACATAACACTGCAAGATAAGAAAAACTGATAAGAAAATATGGGATTGTCATCCATATGCCCACAATCAGTTCTGTGTAAGCAGACTTGCTGTTCAGAAAATGAATTTCATTGTAAGCAGTGAATGGACAGAGGGCTATACCGATGAATCTCTATACTAACTATCCCATCTATAGATATAATCTGTCTCACAGAAGAATCTTTCGGCAGGAGAAGAGTGTTGCATGACAGCTAAGGGTAAAAACATTCTCCATTCTCTTTCTTTCTCAGAGTCCAAGGACAAGGATGCCTCACGTGTAAAAGTTTCTTACTGCACCAATTCTTCCTCCCCCTTCTGTAAGCCTGAAGCTGCTACTGTTGGACAAAATATGCATTTGAATACTGTATAAAGCTCAGTAAATATGAGTCATGAGATGCTGGATAAGTGGCTACTTGGCAAATATTTTCTAAAGCTGCATTGTTCTGGAGCTCTGCTGAGCGTCATCCTGAATGAGTGCATGGTGCCCTATTGAAACGTATCCACCTTGAAAGAATGGCTTGGGACACTTCCATCTAGTGATTGTATGCAACATTTATTTCATGTGTTTTGTGATTTTAGTATGGAGACAAAATAAAGGGTTTTTAAAGGTTCTTCTTTTCTAAGACTCCTAAGAGGAATGTCATGTCATCAGGAAAGTCATCAGGAATGTCATGTCTTCAGAATCATATTGGCATGCTCCATTTCATTGATTTCATTTTCAGAATCAGATCAGCATGGTCCATATCGAGAAGAGGCCAGATAAAAGTGGAAGAATACAATCATCCTCTATTTCCCCAGCATTGTGTGTGTGTTTTTTTAAACAATAAACAGGAATGCAAATAACATAAACATTCATTAAAAGATTGATCTCAAGCAAAAGAGTAAATCATAAGAAATTTGCACATAATTTATAGAAGCTTTTGAGTATTTCCCTTGTACATATCAGGATAGTATAAGCTACTTTGTTTATGGAAAAGGAGGAATGCACACTTCTGCCTTAAATTGCATGGGTCTGAGCAGCACAGTTTTGGTTATACACGGATTTTTAAAAACATGAATGAATGAATGAATTGAATGAATGAATGAATGAATGAATGAATGAATGAGTGAGTGAATAGCTGCAATACATCTCCAATAAGTGGCCTGAGAAAGTGAGTCACAGACTTACTGAGGTCCCTGTCATTGTTGTTGCAGTGGGCACTGGTCCCCTCCTGGCATGGCAGCTCCACATGGTGGCCAGAGGAAGTGCTGGGGCATGCTGGGAAGCTGATGTGGGCTGCGGAAGGTCACGTTGTGTGCTGCTTTGTTGTGGGGAGAGAGATTGTGCCTGTTTCCCCCTCTGATAGAAGTTTTGGTTATATGGGGGGGGGGAACCCTCTGATAGAAGTTTTGGTTATATGGGGAGGGGAACATAAGAATTCTACATGGATTTTGAACTACACAGGCATCTGGCCCCCCCAACCCCTGTGTTGATTAAGATAAGAGTTCTACATGGATTTTGAACTACATAGGCATCTGGCCCCCCTAACCCCTTTGTTGATTAAAGAAGAAGTGTAGAATGTTTTCCAAACCACTCAGAGAGCAAAAAACAAATAGTAAGGGGTAGGAGGGTGTGGGTAGATTAATTCCTGGCTGCAGGTGTATCACCGGTCCTTCAATGAAAAGATCCTTGTGGCTCAGAAAGTGTTAGGATCCTTGTGCCAATGCGTTCTGTAACGAGTCAAGCAGACCAGCCAGCAACTTCTCCTGGTCTTCAGCTTAACTTCTTGGCTCTGCCCCCTGAATGAATATAAGTAACATGAGCTCCTAATTTCAAAAGTTTGCAACCCACTTTAAGGTTTGCAGTTCGTACACTTCTTTTGCTTTTAGGAACCATTTCATGAAAATAACATGAAAAAATAAGGATTTGCCCTGGAAAGATGTCATCATTTTTTAAAATAAAATCTGCTTTGGGTGAGAGACAGTTGAGTCATCTGCACAAGCATCAGTAGCCATTGGCATCAAAATGGTAATAGGAAGCGCTGGATTTAGAGGCATCAAGTTTCCCATTCATGACGGTGGCTGGGCAAGGGGCTAGTACGAACCAGTGCAACATTCTGAGTAGCCTTAATTGACAATGGTGTTTCTCTGCAGATCCTGGTAGTAGGGAGTAAAGCCCCCTCTGGCTAATCTGTTTCATTTCACCACTCTCAGCAGCACATGAACAAAAAAGGGGGGGACAGAATGTTAAGCTTAATATATTAAGTCTGAGCACGAGAATGGCACAATTTCTGCCATCGCTTTATAGAGAAGCAAGGGAAAGATTTCTATTTACTGTCACAATGCTTTGTGGCCCTCACTGTTGGCTGACAGAGATGTATTCCAAGGAAAATGGCTGTCCCCCCCAAATGAAGCCACAATATCCTCTTTGATAAGCCAGCAAGAATCTCAGTACTGTGTGCCCCACGTAACCACCACTCCCTCTCTGGGACTAGATCAGTCCTTAGGAATTGTGAGCTGTAGTTGCCAGCAACCACCTCACTGGGAAGAATGACTGAGGGACTGTTAGTGCGCTCTGAGCTTTTGTGCTTGACTCTCTCAGCATGAGTCCCTGCAGACTCTATAACACTACTCACAAGGGGAATGAATGAACAGTAAATACGAGGCCCTGGAATTTTTTTTTAAAATAAAAAGTCTTGTCAGTTGTTTCCTGATTTGTATCCTTTATCCTCTCTCTCTTGTGCAGTATAAGCTTCTCAAAGCTAATGCCCATAACACCACCCCCCACTGGTAGCAGCAGGCTGTTTTGCTGCTCTAGAGGTTGCACTGCTCCGATTTACAATGATGGCCATTATTCTGAAAAGCTGTGCATTAACCTAGTGGCACAAAGTTGCTCAAACACCTTCCCTCTGGTTTTACTTTTCTCTGGGGAGCAGCAAAGCTATTACAGAAAAAGGTTCTTCCTTGGTGGTGGCAGCCAGCACACACGGACGTGCGCGCGTGCACACACACACAAGAACTAATCTTAAAGAGGCTACTTGAAAGAGGAGCACTGCCCATTTGTCAAGCTTACATAATTTTGAAAAATATTAGTGCTTGCCAACACTCTGCGATAGCATGGTGATTCACCTGAGTTTGCCTTCTGTTACCTTGAATTTAGTTGTAGTTCCAGTAAATAATCTGTAAATGTAGCCAGTGGGTTTTTTTTTTAGTGGATTACTCTTTGATTCACACACTTGCATTAGTACTCCTGCACAATATACTGTTGGAATCTTTTAGCGTCTGTATGTCCAGTGCTTTCTCTTCCACTCCAACCTATTGCACGTGCTCCTCCTCCTCCTCCTCACAGTCCCAACCTATCTGCCGCAAAGCCACTAGGAAAAATCATGACAGGATAGCTCAGTGGTTTGGGTCCCTGGCTGTGGAACAAAGGTTCGGAGTTCGATTCCTCACTGTGCCTCTTTGACAAGGGCTGGACTTGATGATCTATAGGGTCCCTTCCAACTCTGTAGTTCTAAGAAGATGATAATGACAAGCGGGGAGATGGGAGGGTTGTGTGAATATATGACCACTCGAAGCAACACAGTTGCAGGTGAGAAACCTGTCCTCCTTCATGTTCCTCTGTGCTTCACACACCTGGGTGCTTAGCAAGCTCCTACATTGGAGGTTGGGTGTCATGTTAACACAGAAGGCAAAACCACTCTCCCAAAGGAAGCATCTCTCTGAGCACAAAGGTCCAGTTGGTTGTGTTTAATGAATGTCATGGGCTAAGGCTGCAGTGCTCCTAATAAATGGGAAGGAAACCACTGAGAAAATGAAGGGGGGAAAGATTCTAAAATGACATTTTTTAAGCAATAAAGTTCTGAGGAAGGAGAAGAAATGTAAGCAAACTAACAAGAATTATTAAAAAACTGGGCAATAGTAAAAGTTTTAAACAGACACGAAGATCTGAGCTGGCGGACAGAAACTGACTGAGGTCAAGAGGAGGGGCATGCACGGTATACCGGGCAGGACATGAAAGTGCTGAGCATACCAATTCCAGAAAACTCGTACAGAATATCATGCAGGGATAGGTGTGTGAATCACAGAGGACCACGAAGAAGAATGAATGAGTCACAGCATTGACTGGGTTGAAATTTATTTTTGTAAACTAAGTTTGTCAATCAAATTAATGAGAAGAATTCAGATCTTTTAAGCATAAAAATTTAGCTCTCCGTCCTTATCTATTCCTCAAGCATTTTAAATTCTCAGTTATAAAACTGAGGATTACACTATATAAAAACACCAAGGAACGTAGAAATCTTGTTACATTTTATTAAATATCATTTTACATGAAAACAGTTAACACCTGACAAACCATTACATTTTTCATAATACAGACAAACTGCATGTTGAAAACAAACAATGCAACATTTATTTAACCATACCGCTTACTAAGCTGTCATTCTAAAGTATGTGGCTATACGTATGTATACATATTTTATATTAACATTGTTTGAGTACCAAACCCCTGTTAAAAAGAGCACCTTTTTGTGCCTTATATAAAGAACCCCAGCAAGGAAAGATTTTCTTTGTAGCATTACAGAAGTTCAGGGGTTTTCAGGGTGGGGGTGGGGAGAACAGGATTTTGGAATAATTAGTGCATCTTTTCAATTTTTGCTTTGAAGAATATTGCAAGGCAACAATATATATATTTACCTCCACATCAAGAGAGAAGGCCATCGTTATGGTCAACAATGGAACATAATTTTGTTTATTTATATTCTGTTCCAATCTGTACAGTCTAAATGCCAGTAATCATATCGAGTTATAAAACTGGTGATACCTTAGGCTTGTATGAAGGACATTGAAAAGACTGCGCTTAATGTTCAGAATCCTGTCACTGATTTATACAGTAGTTGTGTATGGGAAATCACATAAGTCTTGGTGGCAAATTGCTACTCATTAACAAGTTATGGTGTGTGCTTCACTGAGAAGGGAGCTGAATTTTTTTGGGCATGCCCAATAATACAATCAGCGCATTAAAGAGTGGCGATTTGCCACTGTGACTTATGTCATTTCCCTTATGCACACACAAATCAGCAGCAGGATTCTGGTTAAGATCTACTGCCCTCGGTAGAGAGATGAAAGACTTGACCTAAGTTAAACTAGAAAGAAAAGGAAATGTCTATGCATATCTTTTATGTATTTGAAGGAAGACTGGGCAACCAAGTCTACTCTGTACTTTCCTGTGCTATTTAACCACCTATTTTAAAAACCATCTCGAGGATATGACGTAATCAAATACAGTAATGACAATACTATTAAAAGGCCAAGATGTTGTGGATGTTTGATACAGCTGCTCTGAAGGAGAAATCATGCAAGTAAACTCCTACCATATTTTGATTCAATATATTTGTTTATGTGATTGAAACTGCTGTAAAGATAATTTTTATTACTATCTTTTTTATCTCTCATATGTCTTCTCATAATTGTTTCTTTTATAGTAAGGAAAGGAAATCTATAGCCCTCCAGATGTTGCTAGATTCCTGGAGGAAGGGATTTGGAATCCAGCACATTTGTCATCCCTGCCTTACAGTATCTGAACCGCCTTCCATATTCTCACAGTTATACCCATTAAAACAAATAGGAACTTATTTAGGGCAACTGTATAGAATAGGAAAGCTATTTCACTTCTGTAAATCACAGAGGACTAATCCATACATTACCAAACCAGCATGGCTTTTGTTTCTTTGTTCAGGCTGAATTGTTGCCTTTTTGGCCATTCTGATAAAATCTGAAGGACAACAACATGTGGAATGGTTGAATCACATACTGTAGGTAGCATTTATGCTCACTTATGTGGGTCTAATAAGATTCTATGCAATTATTAAGTGCATATCTGGAATGGTATGACATCCTAGTATGAAATCAGCATGCATGTTACTTAACAGCATATGAACTAGGTCACTGTTATTGGTATATAAATAGAAAATTGGGAATATGATTGTTCTGTTTCAAGTACCTAGAATGAGGAGACAACTGAATTTTAGCTCTTGTTGCAATCTTGAAAGATTCAGAGCAGCTTTCAGACATCACATAATATAATATTATTTTGTAGGGGGCAGCAAGTGCAAATGGTACCGTATATATAGCTACTTGTTTTGTTCAGGTCTTGCTAATGCTGAAAGGCCAACGCTCCCCTTCCTCCAATCATGTGCACAAGGTTCAGATGCAAAGAGACCTTGCTCTCAGCTGGTGATGGAAACAGTCACAAAATGTAAAACCTTGCATGTAATGCTCAAGGCCATCCTGAACTGCTTTCACGTTCTCAAAAAAGAGTTCTGAGAATTAGTGGTTTTGCCTGAATGGCTTTTAAAAGAATCATTAAAATGGTGAAATAGCCACGTAGGGAACTATGAGAAAAGATATCCAACCTCAGCCAGCTGTGGAGTTTGACAGGCCTTCAGAAACATTTCAGACACTGGAAGATATTTCAGGTTAAAGCTTGTGTTGGACATTAAAATAGTACCCCTCTAAAATCAAAGCAGAACCACTACAAAGAGTAATGTGAGATTCTCAACACCTTTAAGAAAAAAATCCAGACCTAAATATAGGCCTTTTACCAGTGGTGCGTTTTCTTTCTCATGTATGCTTTTAAAATTATTTCTGTCAAGGGACGCAAATGATGCTCAAATTCAAATCCACGTGGGTTCTACAGAAAAAGTTTAAGAGAAAATGTACTCTGGTCACCAATCCTTTCTGGAAAATATACATGTGAATTTTAAACTGTCACACAGTGTCGTGTTGCTTTTAAATGCATGTTTTATATCCATGGAAAACTATCCCACAAACCCTCATTGTCTGGTTAGCCTGCGTCTTTCACTTTGTTCTACTACACTGGCTGTGCCCACCTCTTTGGGTAAAACTGGTTTCTGATTGCGTTGTGGGAGGGGGCACGGCGGAAGCCAGTGCCTCCAACAGCAATGAGTTCCAATGGTTTCTTTTTGTGTTTAGGCTAGGCAGGAAAACCTTTCCTCTACATTGAGAACTAGGGCTTAATCAGCTGGTCTGTGCAAGATGACAAAAGAATTGTTAGAATCTTACACCAGTCCTTTCCCTGAGCCAACCCATGACTCCTGGATTAAAAATAAGAATTCGAAGTGTTGTGTCTGGAGTGGGAACTGATGGTCAGAATTTTGGGGTGATAGCTGGAATATTATTGGCCAGAATGTTCAAGATAATCAATGGCTGTTTTTGAAAAAGAAAAAAAGGTTGAGAGTGTGCACACATACACACACTCACAAAACCTAAGCAGAAGCCCTGAATGTTTGATTTATTTTGGATAGTAAGGTTCTAGGCACAGGAAGCGAGCATTTCAGTAGAACTCTCTCCATCAAATCATCAGATACTTCAATGGGAGTGGAGTTTCCCCTCTTACTCCTTAAACTACAAAAGAGATACAGAGGCTCTACCTTAATTTTCTTAACTGAAACATTTATTACATTCTCGAAGATTCCTCCCATTTTGCAAGAACGGAAATCTTTTTTTAAAAAAAGTGATCCTCATCTTGAAGCATCAAACCAAATATATGACCAAACCTGACAAAGAAATCACATACAAAAGGTTGAGTATAAAACTCATAGCAATTTGTTGTTAAGGCATTTTTGCTTTGTTCATAATGTGTTCAATTTTGTGATTATTTGTTTCTAAAGATATAGAAAATCAATTTGGGAAACTTGAAAGCTTTAGAAGTAATTGGGAGAGGAAACTGTTCTTGTTATATTTTGATTTGTGAACTGGGAACAGTAGAATCACAGCAGAATATGATGTACCATTGTGTCCTTAAGCCAAAAATAAGTTTTCCACAAATCATATATTAGCCAAATCTAAGCAATTCTGAATAAACAATTTAAGAAAGAACTTCAGAATGAATCCTATATAATTGTTTCCTCCTTTCTAACAAAGCCTTAGACACTGTAATAAATGTGTTATAAAAATAGATGTGTTTTTAGGCAGCTAATGTACCTGGTTGGCAAAGATACGTTTTGTGTTGAATAAAATTACTGAGCTATTCCCACTACAAGCATGCCTAATTTATTTTTCAGATCTGCTCCATTCCTCTTCTCACACCATTATATTAATCATGTTAGGGATGGTGTGTGGTAGGCCAAAATAGCCACTACCCTTAAGATCCTTGTAGGTCCTGTCTTTCTCCCACCTTCAAAACAAGGAGAGCAGAAGTCCTTTCTTCCTTCACAACTACACTTACTTTTTAAAATAGTGAACAATGTTTGTGAACAGGACTGTTTGACAATGCAGTAGCCAGTGGCATTTTCCAATCATATCTGACCATCTTAGAAAAATAACTGGAAAAATGCTTTGGTTTGGAAGAGCAAATATTTGGAATTCAGATGACTATTCAAAACTAGTTTATTCTTCAAAATGGCTCATTCAGCAACTAAAGTTTCTATACCATAGTGCTTATCCTAGTGTAAACTCATTTTTCCTTCATCTTCTCTATTTTCCTTCTTAAAAAATATCTTTGAATTAAGTTACGTGAAAAGGTAAAGGAACCACAGAGCAGCCAAAAAAAAAAAAAAACCAAGAAACGAAAAGAAAACCCCTTTTCCATTTCTAAAAAGGGTCTAGAATATTTGAAGTACTCAATAATATTATATATATTACCACTGGATATCTGTTTTGAAGTCTGCCAAGTTATGGAACATAGGCAACATACCTCAATTTAAAATTTCTAATCAAAACACACTTATTGCCATGGAACGTGATATATCCTAGCAGTAATAAATGGGCATAGTTATAAGATACAAATTGCCAGCTTTGCTCTGACTTAATATACATTTCTGACAAATTGAGAAATATGTGGAATTGTTCTCAGTAAACATACAAATTGTTTCATGCCATGACTGGCTTTTACTTGTTACTGAGGAAGTGTGAACACCAGAGCTAATGTATTTAGTACGCTGTTGGTGAAGGCATAAAAATCTTCACAGTGGTGTTGTGGTGCAGTGGGGAAATGAAATAAAATCAAATATAATAAGCTGGAAGAAAAGAACATGCCACTTATTATTAAGCAAAAGGCTTAATTTCCACAGAGGTCTCCAAAATCACAAAGGATCAAAGTACGTGCAATATTTTAAATAAATGAAGAGGGGAAGGGGAACAAGATCTTGCCAGCAACATTTTTCTTGTGACTGCAATCCACCACTGAGAAAGACAACAAGGCCATGGCGTCGTCACATAGTACTGGCTCTCTCGTTACGTTTTCTTTCTCTTCTCTAGTCTGGTGACCTCAATTCCTATAAGGAAACAACAGTAGTTATAGTGAAGTTTGTGATAAGAAGCATTTCATAATTTTGAGTCCAAGTTTGATTCTCTATTTCTATCTGAACCAAGCAAACAACCCAAAACACATTTTCAGGAGATTATTAACAGTAGGCTTCTAGAAGTGGTCTCTGTGCTAAGAGACAGATTCCCAATCTTGAAAGTCAATACAATATCTTTACTGGATGGCAGTCAGGACTGTCATTAGGGTGGAGCAACTGGAACTTCATTCTAGGACACCGTATTTAAAGGCATGCCCCTCCTCCAGACTTCAAAGATTGGTCCAACAGCCTGGGCTATTGTCATAAGGGAAAAATGGCTGTAGACCAGGTTGCTGAGGTGGAACAATGTGCCAAATAAATCAGCCCATTTGGGGAGAGCAGAATAGCAGTGATAGATATACAGTACTGGGTTCTGCTGAGGCAGCAGAAGAAAGATCTACCTAGGGCTTGGTGGACCAGGCCTCCAGACGGAGGCTAGCCTACAGTAACTGGATTGCAAGTGAAGGCCAAGCCTCCCTGTTGGGGGGCGGATCTTAACTGGATTTTGGTAGATCATTCCTCTTGGGTGGACGAAGCTTCTTAATATGTATTGTATGCTAAATGCTCTCTCTATTTCTGTAATACTTTTGACATGTTTTGTAGCTCTGACAGTACTGCTGGTCCCTTGTAGGGGATGTCAGATGCTGGCAAAGTGTATTATTTTCACATCATGTTGATTGGAGGGCATATATTCTGCTAAAATTGTTAGCTATGGCTCTGATGACAATTGCTCATATCCAGCTTTTGATAACTGCTGATGATTGAATGATGATTGCTCCAACATTTTTGAACGTTGGTGTCATGTCAGCCATTCATGTAGTTTTAAAAAGATAAAGGCATCTGCATTTTTTAGTGAAACAGATGTCTCCATATTTTATGAAGACCCTCATTGAAACTCCCCACTTTGTTCTGTGAACTCCCAAGGACCTTCTTTTCATTTTTGCCTATTTAGCCAGTCATGCAAAGGCAGATGGTGTGTGACTGAATGACTCTGACAACCACTTTTTCCCCAGTTGGCCCCTATGGCCTCACTTTTTCCTTCTTTCAGAATTGTCACTGTTTTCTAAGGGTCTAAAAGAATCCAACGAAACAAGCCTGTGCATGTTCTCAGGTTTATTATATGTATAAGGCTGAACTCCATCACTCTCCCCTACTCAAATAGCCCCAGGAAATAAAGTATACTAAGCTGGCTGACTATCAGAATTCAGTTTTTTAGTTATACTTGTTATCTGCTTTAATCTCACCCCATGAACTCTGTAACATAACTACATGGCACTACATCACACACACCCCTCTCTCAAAACTTACACATCTTTCCCCAACACCCTGATGTCTGAAAATAGCCTCACATGTTGTTATTAATTCAGACATTGGTGTATATGGAAGATGGAGGGCAGGACAGGTAGCACTGTGTTCTTATTTATGGCTTAGATTATTCAATAAAAGAAAATGCTTGCTAATGTAGAAACAGATGAGTAATGGAAAGATTCTAGAAGTTTATTATTGTTTCAATTATAGTGGAAGTCATGGAGCGTCTATTTCCAATAATATGAACTCAAGATGTACATAAATCTATAAAGAAATTTATTTATTTATTTATTTATTGAATTTATATGCCGCCCACTCTACCCAGAGGTCTCTGGGCGGCTTACAATAATGTCATGGAGTTTTCATGTTTGTGTCTAAGTGAAATAATCATGAATTCTTGTTGTCAGGTTTTGCTACCATTTCAAACTACTGAGAGAATACCACCTTATCAATGTATTCCAGTGGGTGATTCTGGATATATTACATATGCATTGAAGCTATCAGTGTGATATACTTACATACTGTAGATTTAAGGTATGAATGAATGCAATGCTATTTTTGTTTTCCTGAGTGTCAAATAACCAAGAGAATAACTATAAACCTTGCCCCTCTCCTGCCCCAGCGTTCCTCCTTTATTTTGAAAGAGGAATATTGTATTCACAGCCTTTTTTTTAAAAAAAGGTACTTCTGCTACTGGTTTTAATGTTCATTAATCCTATAAGTAAACATAATAATTTCAAACATGCATTTGCTGAGGAGAACTAGCAGAGAATACTGCTGAGGAGAATTAACAGAAATAGCTTATTACACTAATAAAGTCACCAAATTAGTCCATTATGTTGTGATGCTAAATAAACCGAACCTTAGCGGAGGAAAAGGAATGTACCAACCAACCAAAGTTTGAGATTATCGAAGACTTTACCCAATGGTCAAGTCTCATAGATATAATGTCAAGAAACCTCTCAAACATTACGGAATAATCCTCAATTTGTTTTTAATCTTGCCAGTCCTATTTTCTAAATTAGCTGTGGGGGTGGAGGGGGACACCCAGTTATATTCTTTTCTTGATAAGGCAACATCACTGTTTCTTTTGGAATATTACCAGATGGTTATATGACCTCTAGTCACATCTTATTATAAAAGCAACTGCTGAAAATTTGAGTTTTCACAACTTTCGATTTCTCATGAGGCAAAACTTGTTCTCTGACATCTTCAAAAATCTTTTTGACATATAAGCAGAATGCCTTTTAAAAACATTTAATTTTGTGTTGCAGAAGTGTGGATGGAGATGAGTATACATGTGTATACATTTGAATTTCCAAAAAGATTTTTACAGAAGGAAAACCAACATGTTCAGGATGCAACTGAATGGCTAAAGACTATAAAATATAATATGAAATATATAAATCCTGGGATATATTAAGTTTCTTTTCTTAAAAAAAATCAAAAAGCTATTTTTGATTCTACCTACAACAAAGAATCCACAATAATGTTAAAATAGCTTTGCTGCTAGACTGAGGGGACACAGAGGAAAGAAGAACAATTAATTTAAACCAATAATCCTAATTCAAGGCACAGTGGATGGATTAAAGAGATTGTTATTCTCAGAGTATCTGTCCCTATTTTTAAAAAACGACTGAGAAAGCCAGTGGCTGAAATCCTGTTGTGCAATTACATAAATGGTATAATTCTAAAGGCAAATTGCCATTAAATTTAAAAAATTACCACATACCTCATCTGTTGCATGCCGAGTCATTCAACTAAGTGTGCAACAGATGAAGTCTATGGAGATTTCTTAATTTATGGCAACTGACTTCCAAAAGTTATATTGTTTGGGTAACTGAACAGCAGAATTTTACCTTTGACTAATAAATAATTACGTAACAATAGTATACACAATGGTTCCCTATATAGAGTTCATCTGAGCATATAGCCTCCAGAGTGGACCTCCCACAGCATCTTTGCACACTCAACACATCCAAGGCTCAATACACTTTATAATGCAGCTAGCTTAGCATCACTACTGCAATCATGTGTCTTTTTCTTTTCTTTAGAGACAGGTAACAGTGAGAATGTCATATTTCTCTGCATGTAACATGCCCTTGCCAATTAAATTCTATTAGGCAGAAATCCTACTCTTTCTAATGGCAGTGGACAACTGTTGTTTTTTTCCAAGCTCACCTGCTACTGAAGCCATATTCTGTGAAACAACTATTAAAATATATTTTATCATTTAAAAAAATGTCTTGGGTGAACAACTTATTTTGCTATACATGTTAATGAACTGGATCACCAATACCCATAAATGCAGCTTCATTCTGACCCAGATGCCCCATGAACCAGATTTCTTTTCTTTCTTTCTTTTTTTTTTTTTAAATTCAATTTTCTTAAAACCAACTGTCAGCATCATGTGATGGAAGAGATGAAAAATGAAAATGAGCAATCCTGCTGTGCAGGTGAGTGACCTGTGGGAGACAGCTCTGCCTGGTAGGATTTTTACACGTACCATCAGACACAGACCAATTGATTAGATCATCTTATTCTTGCCACCAACCAGGCTCAAGAGACTAATTAGAGAGAGTACTGCCTGCACAGGCACCCCATTGACACCTAATTTGCTCAGCCAAAGCCTTTGGGGAGAATGTATTATCTCTGCAGCTGCACTTCATGCATTTCTGATTTCAGGCAGAAGCAAGGAGCACTTCATCACGCTTCTGAGCAAACTGAATGTGAGAAACTTTAAGTGCTAAATACAAGCAGACACAAATTAAACCTTACCAGCCTCTCAAAAGTTCTGTCCCCTCCTTCTCTTCCCCCTTATGCATATGCATATGAATTAGTATATCTTTAGTCTTCTGATAGTATGCTCGTGTACATAAGATTGCTGTATAAGAAGAATGAAAATCAGAAACTGGTCCTGTTTCTGCCTCAGAAAATACTTTCCTATGTGCCGCTCTTGGCTTCTTGTTTGAAAAGGGAATATTATTTGTGTTCTTCAAGACAAGGAGAAGTAGCTCAACTCTGCAATTTTTCCTCAGGCTAGGATCACTGGAAGGCAGCTGCCTATTAGCTATGTTTTACCTCGCTAGCAGTCGTAGCATTAGCAGTGAGACTGAGTTAATGGATGTATGACTGATGCTAATACCATTTTCAGCCTGATTGTAGCTATAAGAGTTCTGTTCCTGTGCTAAATCATGTATGTATTTTATTAAGTATCACTGTTTACTGGAGATTAGCAATGGCCAGAGTTCAACTGGGATTTGATCTCATACAGGAATTGAAATGCAGGTTTAATGTTCCCCCATATAGATATATACAGTATATGGGGAAGTGAACAAGAATGAAGATAAATAACAAGTGAACCCACTGCTTTGCAGCGTTTCATTCTTTACTTATTCTACAAGGTTAGGGTGATTTCTTGCATTAACACTCAAATGACAGAAGCATAACACTTTAGTTACCTTATTTCTAATAAAATTCAGTAATGGGGAAGGGAAGAGATGTGAGAAAATGATCCCCACAGCAGTAGAGGCAGAAGAAAGGCCGAGTGTGTTATGAACTCCATTGTAGCCAATGCTTTTTACACACAGGTCAAATATCAGACAGTCTACATTAGTATTGTCTAC